TGTTTTTTTTCATAGAAGAACCTTCTTCTCTAATAATGAAAGCTGTCCATTTGTGTCAACGCTCATGGCTTTGTTAAATGTTAATAAACTTTGGTCGACTGTACTTCAGCTGTCCCGGCCATGCATCAGAGCTCATGACCAAACAGCCATGCCGCAAATGCAGATCTCCCATTACAGACGACGGGTTCCAATGGCGCTCACTACCAAATAAAATCGATTCCCCACATTATTATCTTTATCTATATACTGCAAATGCCTTCCTTTTCTAGTGTGATTTGCTTCCACTCGTGGTATTCAAAAGCCTAGTTTTGATGCTAGACTTCTCCCAGGTATGGAGTCAACGGTATTGAGAAACCCGAACGATTAATAGTGTTTTTCGGTAGTAGACCAATTTTTTTTTACGTTGATGGTTATATCCTGAGAGGCTGCCGGACCTGCCCGGAGATGGCTCTGGCACTGCCTTCTCCATCCAAGAACTAAAATCGTCAGTTTTTTTTTTTGCCAATAATATATTATGGTCATGCATTGTAACAAAAACATCATATATTTGATTTTTTCCCCCAAAAAATCTCAGTTGTCACGTGTTTAGGCTAGTGGATCAAAATCCAACCATCGCTGGTCCTTTTTCTTCTACTCCAATTGAAGAGCAAATTAAGGCCTGGCAACCGAGCTGTCATCCTCCCCTTCTAGCGATGACGGTGGTGACAAGCCCGTCAAGTTAGGATGTTCACGCTGTTGGAATTGTGTGTGAACAAAAGACCCCATGTGAAGAATAATTCTTAGAAAATTCTCAAAAGACCCACAATATGAAGAGAAATATGTGAAACTTTAGTACCATATTGATAGTTCATGTATTTTTGTCGCTCGAAGGGATATCCCCTCGTTTTATAAATGGCGTTTAAAATGTCATAAAAAAACTGAAAAAAATGGCTTAATTGGATCTATGCCACTGCAAATATACCAATTCGAAAAAATACCACTACTATTCACGACATCGGCTACATGTCACTAGAATTTGGGAAAATTGGAATCATGCCACTCCCGTCCAATTTTCTATCAACCTCTGTCATCTCTCTCCCTCTTCCTTTCTTCGCTTCTCCGCCATGGACGCCGGTGAGCCCTACACCTCGGACTCGTTGGTCCTTGCCACTGCAGCTAGCCAATGGTCCCCTCTCCATCTCTCGCTGCTCCTCCACCAACAGCAGCCGCGACCCGTCCGTTCCTTGTCATCCCCACCGGGGGACACGGCACCCTTGTGGCCTCGCCACCGTCATCAAGGGAATCAGCAGCCAGGGAGCTTCTCCGCCATCAGAATGGTAGGTTCTCAGTAAGGTCAATGTATCTAGCTTTAATTAACAATGGTTATGTTGAGAGGAACAAGTATATTTGGAAACTTAAGATGTCGCTTAAGATTAAGATCTTTATGTGGTACTTACTAAAGGGGGTTGTGTTAACCAAAGATAATTTGGCGAGAAGGAATTGGAATGGTAGCTTAAGGTGTTGCTTTTGTATGAAAAATGAGTCTATTCAACATCTCTTCATGGATTGTCATTATGCAAAGTTCATATGGAGAGCAGTTCAGTTTTCTTTTGGTTTTAACCTTCCAACTAGTATATCTCATATTTTTGATGGGTGGCTTTTGGGGGTTGACAAGAAAAAGAGTAAACTGATACTTGTTGGAGCTTTTGCCATTTGTTGGGCTCTATGGTTGAGTAGAAATGATTTGGTTTTTGACAAAACACCATCTATTACATATATGAAGGTAATTTTCAGGGTAACGCACTGGCTACGGTTTTGGGCACAGCTACAAAGGTGTGAGGATGATGGGGAATTCCTAAAAGTTGCATGCCGCAGGTTGGCGTCGATGGTTATGCAACTATTTGCCAATTATGGGTGGAGGTTCACAAATAGACTTCAATAAATGTGTTCTCCTTATTTTGGCTTGGTTACCTTTGTTTTTGTTTGGTGTGTTCTTTTATCTGAACTACACTCTTTTCTGGAGTGCAACTTTATAATAATTGGCTGTAGCTCTTTTTGAGCAAAGGCTGGGATGTTATATTCCATTATCTTAAAAAAATGGACGCCGGCGAGCCCAAGAGGGCGACAACTGAGGGGAATCGGCAACCGGGGAGCCGAGGGCGAAGCTCAGCGGGACGAGCGGCACGGGGGAAGGAGATCGGTGGCGGCGGCGGCGAGGGTTGGGGACGACGACGCGGTGGTGGGCAGGGTGGCGATCAGCATGGGGGCGGTGGCCGGGACCTCGCCGGGGGAGCGGACGACGACGACACAGGCACAGCTCAGCCCGCTGGCTCCGAGACGAGGGGATCGACAACGACGATGCAGGCGCAGCCCGGCCCGCCGGCTCTGAGACGAGGTGCTCAACAACGACGACGATGCAGCGTAGCCCGGCCTGCCGGCTCCGAGACGAGGGGCTCGACGACGATGACACAGGCACAGCCCGGCCCACCGGTTTTGAGATGAGGCGCTTGACGACGACGATGACGCAGCAGCCTGGCCCGCCGGCTCCGAGACGAGGGGCTCGACGATGATGACGCAGGCGCAGCCCGGCCCGCCGGTTCTGAGACAAGGCGCTCGACGACGACGCAGCGCAGCCCGGTCGGCTGGCTCCGAGACGAGGCGCTCGACGATGATAACGATGCAGGTGCAGCCCGGCCCGACCTCCATCTCTGAGATGACGACGACGATAACACCTCCTGCCGTGTCTATGGTGGTGGAGAGAGAAGAAGGGGGAAGAGAAGAGAGGGGAGGAAGGTAGGGCCCACGTGCAGCTGGGGGCTAACGGAGATTTTTGACGGAAGATGTGATGGAGTGGCACGGTTCCAATGAAGAGAACTCGAACCTCCATGCTCTTTAGCACGATATTTTGATTTCTCCAATTTTCAGTGGCACGTAGCCGATATGTTGAATAGTAGTGGCATTTTTTCGAATTGGCATATTTGCAGTGGCATGGATCCAATTAACAAAAAAAATAGTATGATAGATTAATATGTGATATGTTATACCACAAATATGCAAGTTAAAATTGGACTTATACAACCACGGACAAGAATAACAACTCTCCCACCAGCATGGATAGAGGAGGACAGAATAGGAAAGGTGCAAGCCACGTACGAAGGGGATATGGCAGTTTTGGACCTGGATAACAGCTTTTAACAAGATCTGAAGCTTGGATCTATATTTTGTAAGTTTGGGAGAGAGGCGGGGGGTGGGGGGAGGGGGGTGGGGACGATAAGTTTAGGGACCGCTTGTGCACTTCACTCAAAGATATGAATAACAAAATTTGTCTACTCTATGAATTTGATGTCTGATGAAAAGAGTTATATACAGGGGTTCGAAAGAACGCGTACCATTAGTCAAACGAAATGCTTTGTCCTGACATCATACTAACGTCAACTTGTAACCTAGTTAATACTACACATGATATCCAGATGTATAAGGTTCTGATAAATAAGATACCACGCTAAGGTCAACACAATACCTTAGATATTAGCACTAGGAAAAAGTATGAATTACCCTCCGAACTATCGCGGTTGACCGAATTACTCCCCTGAACTACAAAGCCAGACATTACTCACCCTGGACTTTCAATACCGGATGAATTATCCCCTTGACCTAATTCAGAGCGGTTTTGTCCTACGTGGCGTACGCGTGGCAATCCAGTCAGCATTTTCTTTTTAAAAAATAGTGGGACCCACATGTCATACCTACCCTTCCCCTCTTCCCCTCTCTCTCTCTCTTCACTCACTCTCTCTCACGGAGTCACGGGGCAGCGTAGGGGGCAGGCGCGAGAAGCGGCTGGGTGGCGAGCGGCGGCGCGAGGCGAGGCGGCTGCGCAAAACGAGGAGGCAGTGGCGCTAGGTGGCGATTCGTTCCCCCTCCACCGTGCCCACGAACCCATTCCATTCCATTCTCCATCCCCCACCCATGTCACTTCCGCGCTCCTCGGCTTTCATCTCTCTTACTTCCCGGTCTCCCTCTCCTCGGTCGCTCTCTCTCTCTCTCCCATGCATGTGCTCGGGCAGGCGGATGCGGACGGGCGGTGGGCAGCGGCGCGGGGGACGCGCGGTGGGCAGAGTCGCAGGGGGACGGGCGGGGAGATGGGCGCCCGCCGGTACCCGGGCATCCTCCACGCCACCCGCTGCTGACTGGGGGTTCCACCGTCGTCGGCGCCCACACTGGAGCTCCTCCCCGCCGCTCGTGCCCTCCAGGGACTCCTCCATGGATGCCATCCAGTCGCGCCCGCTGCTGTCGCTCGCCACCCAGTCGTTGCTTGCGCTGCCGCCCACCTCCCGCCCCTGTAACACCCCGTGAGACAGAGAAGAGAGAATAGAGAGAGAGGAAGAGGGAATAGGAGGTATGGCAGGTGGGTCCCACAATTTTTTAAATAAGAAAATGCTGACTGGTTTGCCACGCGTACACTACGTAGGATAAACCCGCTCTAGATTGAGTCCAGGGAGGTAATTTGTCCGGTATTGAAAGTTTAGGGTGAGCAATGTCTGGTTTTCGGGTTCAGGGGGTAATTCGGTCGATCGTGATTGTTCATGGGGTATTTTGTACTTATAGTACTATTACCCGAGTCTTACACGACACCCATAAGTATCAGAGTCTAGTACCTAGCTATCATGTTGATGTTAGGCATATAATTAAACAATTCCATTCCAAGTATATATATGTTAACTGTAATATTTCTGTATACTTATGACTACACCACCATACCATCTGTACATATGCCTGAGTACTACAAAACTTCTGCACATGACACGCGCACGGTGATACACTATCAGTACGGATACATAAGAGTAGACACTAACTGAAATACTTAGCATGGCATTTGTCTATTCTTTCTAAGTCACAACTCAAATGTTACTACACGTAGTACGCTAGCACGTCTACAGGGTGCAAGCAATCACCTTATATACTGCTGCCTGCGTCCTCATCAAAGCTCGCCATTATCAGCTAGCTTAGCTCAAACACTTGTAGCTTAACTAACCATCAAGAATCCAAGCTCGATCAATGGCGGCCACCATGCGTGGTGGCAACGTAGCACTCGCGATCATCTTCCTGTGCTTCACCTGTAGCAACAATGTCTTCCTCCTCCGTTCGTCGTCGGCGTCGTCCCCCATCGACGACTTCCTCCGGTGCCTCTCCGGCAAGATTCCCGCGGAGCAAGTGTTCACGCAGAGCTCGAGCGGGTTCATGGCGGAGCTCACCTCGTCCGTGCAGAACCCCAGGTTCGTGACGAACGCCACGGTGCGGCCCGCCTGCATCGTGGCGGCGTCCGACGCGTCCCACGTCCAGGCCGCCGTGCGGTGCGGCCACCGGAGCGGCGTCCGCCTCCGCGTGCGCAGCGGCGGGCACGACTACGAGGGCCTCTCGTACCGCGCCGTGCGCGCCGAGACGTTCGCCGTGCTCGACCTCGCCGGGCTCCGCGCCGTGCGCGTCCGCGCCGGCGACGCTACGGCGTGGGTGGACTCCGGCGCCACGCTCGGGGAGCTCTACTACGCCGTCGGGACGGCCAACCCCGGGTTCGCGTTCCCCGGCGGGGCCTGCTCGACGGTCGGCGTCGGCGGCTACCTCAGCGGCGGCGGGATCGGGCTCATGATGCGCAAGTTCGGGATCGGCGCCGACAACGTGCTCGACGCCATGATCGTGAACGCCGACGGCGAGCTCCTCGACAGGGGACGCATGGGGGAGGACCTCTTCTGGGCGATCCGCGGCGGCGGCGGCGAGAGCTTCGGGGTGGTGGTGTCGTGGCGGCTGAAGCTCTCGATGGTCCCGCCCACGGTGGCGGTGTTCACCATCGCCAAGACCGCCGGCGACGGCGGCGTCGGCGACGCCGCCGCCCTGCTCGCCAAGTGGGAGACACTCATCCTCCAGCCGTTCCTCCCGGATCTCACCATCCGCGTCGTCCTCCAGGGCCGGACGGCGCTGTTCCAGTGCCTCTACCTCGGCAGCGGCGGCTGCGCCCGCCTCGCCGCCACCATGCGCGCCTACTTCCCGGAGCTCGGCATGACAGCCTCCGACTGCCACGACCTCACCTGGCTCCGCGCCATGGCGTTCATCAGCCTGGGCGCAGCCGACGCGCCGCCGGAGGGCATGCTCCGCCGCACCAACAACCTCGGCACCTACGTCAAGAGCAAGTCCGACTACGTCCGCCGCCCCATGGGCGCCGCCGCGTGGTCCGCCCTCTTCGCGGACCACCTCGCCAGCAACAACGCCGGCGTCCTCATCCTCGAGCCCCACGGCGGCGTGGTCGGCGCCGTGATCCCTGACATGGCCACGCCCTACCCGCACCGCGCCGGCGTGCTGTACAACATCCAGTACGGCGTGTTCTGGTGGGGCGACGACGAGGGGGAGAGCTCAGCGGCGGCGAGGCGGTGGCTGGACGCGCTGTACGCGGCGATGGAGGCGGCGGTGAGCGGCAACCCCAGGGAGGCGTTCGTGAACTACCGTGACCTTGACATCGGCGAGAACGCGGTGGTCGGCGGCGTGACGGAGTACGAGAGCGCGAGGAGGTGGGGGGAGAGATATTTCATGGGGAATTTCCGGCGGCTGGCGGCGGTGAAGGGGAGGGTGGATCCCGGCGACTACTTCCGCAACGAGCAGAGCATCCCGCCACTTCTCCAGCCCTATTAGGCTTAGTAGCCTTTTTATTTGTTTGCACAGTGCACGTGTGCATTGCACTGCAATTTGAGTCCATGCAAAAGTTGCATATCGTCATCACTCGATCGCTATGTGGAGCTGCACAAATGTATGCCTAGCCAAGAATAAAGACTTGAGTGACCTCTTTGTTTTCTTACTAGTTAGGCCATGTACAATGTACCACAGTGGACAGTGGTCTCAACCCTCCACGTCAGATCTGAGCACCCGTGGCAGTGTGGAGTGTGGTTCCATGAACTCTTGCCGTGCCTGCAGAGGTCACAGTTGCCTCGCCGCGGTTCGGCTTGGGAGGTGCGAAATCACTGCTCAGGGCTATGCGTTTGGGAAAACCGTAGCCTCGTGAAGCGCTTGGGGAAAAAGAGAGGTCGAAGAGAACTTGCCGTGGTGGTCATCGCCGCTCGCCGCCGCCACTGAGGTCGCGTTGCCGCTCCACGTTGCCAATGAGGTCGCGTCACCGCTCCAAGCCGCCGCTGCCAAGGTCTCTGACGTTCACTGGTGTCGTAGATCCAATGAGGTCAAGCATGGATTCAGCCAGCTCGTGGCTGGATCCGCTACTGCCGGTGGCCCCTCGACCGCCACGAGAAGGGGATGGGAGGGGAGAAGTCGACAGACGCGGCCAGATCTGCCGCCGTCGCCCAAAGAGAAGGAGAGGGGGAGAGCAGCGTGGCGGTGGACAGGGAGAAGAGGAGAGGGGGAGAGCCACCCTCGAAGTTTGATGTGGTGAATGGGGAGGAGGAGAATGGTGGTGGGAAAGTGCGACATGGCAGTGGAATGGGAGGAGGAGAATGGGGAGGGGGAGAAATGGGGAGAATAATGGCGCAGTGGTGGATGGGGAGGAGGGGGGAGAGTCAGCACTGTGAGCGTCAGAAGAAGAGGCAGCGATTTGGTGGCGAAAGAGGAGGCGGCAACGGCGAGATGTCGTGGATTAGTTTTGGTGGCCAGTGGGGAATCGAGAGAAGAGAGAGAGTGGGGTAGGTGAGAAAAAAAGAAAAGGTGGAGAGGCTGACAGTGGATCCATGTGAAGTTTAGTGGTATCTATCTATTTCTTTTTGTTATTATAAGGTCCAAAATATAAAATTTCTAATTGATTCAATAACTTGGTATTGACACATAAATAACCAAGGGCTGAAACAAAAACTATACTCAACGGTGGTCTTCGTTTGTAGATAAACGGAAAATATACTCAACGGTGATCTCCGTTGTAGATTGTGTGAATTTTATGTGGTCTTATCCTATTTAGCATGTTGAGACTACTGGTACCAGTGGCCTCAATTGTACACACCCTTAGGTGTCTGTGCGTTGCAATGGGAAAATTGATATGTGTTCTAGCACATCAACAATGGAAATTCGTAAAATAAAAACATCCACATATCTGCTTTATAATGTAATTATGATTTTACCCTTTTTTTTGGAAGGGTTTTAATTTACTCCTAGTTTGGACATATGTTATATGAGCCCAAAACTAATGAGTTAAAGAAAATAAGATATCATTCTACCTTGGGTAGGTCAACCAACTATTCCCTGTGTGGCTATCCACTCGTGTTCCCCGTTCCAAACCCACTTCTTTTGATTTAATAGCAAGAATATACTACACAAGCAGCAAGTGTTTGGGGAAAAAAAAAGAGAAAACAAAACTATTGAATAGAGTATTCCGGGAGCTTCTAAAACTAAGAGAGAATGCTGGAGGTAGGAGGAGAGATAGGGAAGAGAAATCGACAAGGGTGCCCCACTTGCCTCCTAGGCTGCCGCATCCCCACAGAGAGCTTCAGCCCGCTTCAATTCCCTGCAACGTTGTTGCTGCTTTTGTTGCCTCTCCAATTAGGTTGGCTTGGGCCAATGCTTGCGTGAGAACTGGCCCATTATGAGGCCCATTTGAGTTCCTAACACGGGTGTTGCGCAGGTCCGAACCGCGAGCCGTGAATCATCAGTACGTGTTGTGCCTATTTTGAGGTTTATGTTTAGTATATGATTCGTTGGTTGCATTGGTTTGATTTTCGTCAATGTGAGGTGAACTTGCTAGTCCCAATTTCTTGTTGCTATGAGTAACAACATGGTAACTACCTTTGTATTGCTGCGCAAATGTGTGTGGAAGGGAGAGATGAAATGGGGAGGAGCTGATTTATTTCAGTGCATCACCTGAGCTACATGTTCTGTGTGTTTGCTTCTGGTGGCTGCCAGGGCATATTTGTTTTGTTACCATAGGTTTAGCAGAGAAATTACTTAAAAATCCTGATTTTATCAAAGAAGGACTAAACAAAGTATAAGAAAAGCAATCAAGTCATTCTTATATATTACTAGAAAAAATGCCCATATGCTGCAACGGGTGAAGCTTATTTTAAACTTATTATTTTTATATGGTTTAGTTAATATGAAATTCATCGTGGGAATTCGCTTGGATATATATATATTTAGAAAATCATGAGCTGCATTTATGAGATATTTTTAGATTGTGAGTTTTTTTAAGATATTTCTTATATGACGCCTCCTGTATTTCCAAAAGCGAACGAATTTAAAAACGACTCAAATACGCATATGTATTTCGACAAAAGATCCTTCTGTATTTTGTAAAGCGAATGAACTTAAAAACCAACTCATACACGGATGATGTACCGGTAAAAATATATTTGATTTTTATAATAGTAGAGATAGAGATATCTCACTAAATTTAAATTGAAAATAAGTACGTTTAATATTAGTTGGCAACTTGGCATCAAAATACGAAGTAAACTTACCTTGGTAAAGATAAAGAAAGAAAAAATCTTAGCCGTTATTCCTTTCGCGAGGCGGCAACAGGGAGCACGCACTCTACCGTCGATCTTGACTGGTCAGCGGAAGCGAACCGACCTATCCAACGGTCGGTGGGAGATGTAGCCGCCAGTTTGACCGGTCGCTGACCCCGGCCAAACTCACACGCAACCTTCGCGCCAAATTTTCTTGCCCTCCAAGAACTTTTCGCGCCATAATAAGTACCTCCTCAAGCTGCTTCCATCCATTAACCTCCGTACAAGTAATGGCAATGGCGAAGCACCAGGCCGACCTCGTGAGGTGCTCGCGGCAGCCGGGCGCCGCCGTCGGCCGCGTCTGCGCGGCGCACGACGGCCGCTGCGTCGCCTGCGACTCCATGGTGCGGCCCGCCGCGCCGGCCCGCGTCTGCGACGGCTGCAGCGGCGGCGGCGGCGGGCACGGCTCCCGCAGCGAGAGGTGCCTGGTGTGCGGCGCCGGCGCCGGAGAAGGAGGTGCGGCGGCGGTGGCGGATGCGTACTACTGCAGGTCGTGCGTGCAGATGGAGAAGGATCGCGACGGCTGCCCCGCCGTCGTCAACGCCGGCACGGCCAGGAGGGACGCCGCCGCCTTCTTCTTCTCCGCGAGGAGCAAGCGTGGTGGCTTCAGATCAACAATGGCGTGATCTTGCTCTGCCATGGACGCACGTCTTCCCGACTCCACGAACTCAAACAGTTTACGGCTGGTGATTTTCATGTAACAATTGAATTATATTTCTGCAATATAGCATATCTCCATTAAATCGATCGACGGTTTTACTGGGAGTAATATGTATTGACCCAGAAATTATTGGGTCCTATAGTAACAATTAATTGCAAGAGTGAGACACATGAATGGAAATGATCAGCAGAATAGCTGCTGAGGAACTCGTGTAACATCTCACAGAATATAATAGAAATCCCTAGTGAACGTGTATTTTCATCCCTCGAGGAGATGCCCCTGGTTGCTTCTATGTCATCCAAATAGTTATTAAATTTTTTTTAAAAAAATGAAAACGTAGATTAATATAAAATATATCACTCCACAAACATGTAAGACCAAATTCGATTTCTACAAGTTTCAACAAACTTATGAAAAACAAATATATTATCAAAATATATCCAATATTAAATTTAATGAAACTAATTTGATGTTTCAGATATAAATTTGATCAAACATAACATAACAAAGTTTCACTAATAAAAAAGTCTTAAAACGGAGGGAGTCACTACCAGAGAGTGGGAGACTACCGTGTACCTCAGTTGGTTACCGAGAGTGTTATATGGAACACGGTAACGTTTAAAGCATACCGTGTGTGAACAAGGAAAAACTCGGGAAGTGGCTAAAAATTCCGTGTGACGAATCGAGAAACACGGTAAGTGTGGGACCCACAGTTTCTGCCGTTAAGCGCGCGGAATATTTGGTCTGGCGCGCGGGATCGCCGTTGGTGCAGGCGGATGGCGCGCCAAGATTTCCGTTGGCGCGGCTGGCTGGCGCGCCTGATTTTCGTTGCCGCGCGAGTAACAGGAGAATCCCGCGCGAGTTACAGCCGAAGGCCCATATGTCAGCCCAAAATAGAGACCAACAAAACCCTAGCCCTTTTAATCGATCCCCTCACTTCCCCACCCCCTGCCGCCTCATTCTCCTCGCCACTTTTCCCCTTTCTGATTTTTCCCCTCTCTTCTTCGCACATGGCAGGATAGCTGTGCGCCCCAGCGTCAGTCCGCCGCACGGCCACCGAGCAACGCTGTGCATTCCTGGCCGTACGCACTCCCTGCATGTCCACATCCATCTGCTAGGCTCTCCTTCGTTGTCCAGCTTGAGCACACCTCATCTTCCATCCAGCTGGTGGTATGTATATGTTGAGTTTTTTTCTTGAATCGTATGTAAAGTTGGGTCTTGGTTCTAGAAAACCCATCCATTTTCTCCCAGGAACTAGAAATAGTTCGGTGTATGATTTCTAGGAACTGTATCTCATTTTAATTTCTTGTAATACCACAAGTACCATATGAATAAGTTGTTGTGCTTTGTAAATAAAAACAATATTAGACTACAGAATGGTGTGGGTGAGAGTTCTTGCACTGTCAGAATAATGTGTTTTCATATTTGTGTACTTGTTGATGGATACATATTGGTTAGGCAAAACTTGCCCTCTTTTCAGAAAACATAATGGTTAGTATGAGTGTTTGCCACGGCCCTACTTGTTTAGATCGATGTTGAATGGTTGAATTGGGTTGGAATGACAGCACCATGTTGTGTGATGATCTGCAATGCTATGGTGTACTACATCTTTGTATCGACATTTTATAATAGGCATTATTATACCATGTTGCTACTATGTAGTTTTTGACCTGTTTAATATAATACTGCATATCTTAATTTTGTAGCAATATGTGGCGATTGAGCTTGGGCTGCAGGGAGGATTCCAATCCTTCAGATCAGGCTGTCAGCGCTGCTACCTTGCCGAGATGTAGAACAAGGTCCTCAGGTTCCCAACAACCTGATAATTCTTCTAATTTGGATGAGATATTGGCTGGCGAAGAAACAGATGAGGAAATGTTTTTTCGTGGTCCCACACGGATGCCACCGCGACCTACCCGAGATGAGGACAAACCTGTGATGACTCCAAAAGGAGATAGGTAAATAGGCTAATTTTGGTATGTTTCATTAGTTGAAATATGAAGGCTTGATCTGTTTGTTCATTGATTTGCACAGGCAATGGCAGGCTAATGATTTTGGGGGCAACATTAGGGTCCCCACTGGCATCCTGACTGTGCTTATTAAGCATTTTTTCCCTGGCATTGTCAATTTTAAAGGAAGAGATGAGCCAGCATGGAGTTGGAAACATTACAGGATTGCACCGGATGATCCAGAAAGCGCTATACTGAATCGCTTGCCAAGCCGTCTCCATCGTGTTGAGGAAGATTTCTGGATTTGTTTTAGAGCATTACCTTCTCCAATATGAAGTACACTATGCATTTTATTGTGTCTTCAGTTTTCATAGTTTATGGCCAATTTGTACTGTACAATAGTAAAGTATCTTAGTACCACACTTTTCAATGTCAAGCAGGCTAACTTTCTGTAGTTGCAGCTTTACTTCAGGTGGGCAGAGCGAACGGAACAAGCTGCTAGAAAGGTTGTCCGCAATTGAATCAAGCGCCTTTTTTCGGACCTGATTTATGAAACTCGTATCCTGGCCGTGCTCAATTACCAAAGGAAGATTTTAAAGGTAGAAACTTCTCGGGATATTGCTTGCAGGACATACCTAACAGAGGAAGAGTACCTACAGGTGCTATGGTTGTTCATTGATAATTTGTTGTGATCTACTGATCAGATTAGTAATTAATAAATCTGTGCTTCTCCTATAGGTAGAACCATGGTGGTTCCTAAAGGCAAAAAATGCGTGGCGGGAGTTGATACGATTGAAGTGGTGTAATCCTGAATGGCAGGCTAGCTCACATGCTCATAGGATACGGAGGGAGAAAATGACATGGCCATCTCACCGCCAAGGCAGTGCTAACTTGAGTCGTTTCCAAAAAAATTTGGTATGTGCATCTATGTTGAAACATGTAGCAGATCATGGTATAATATATATGGTACCCATGTTCTGTTTTGGGAGAAGAAGAAAAAGCGGGTAGTGTCGGTCGAGTACCCCATCCAAACCCACGACGTCGCCCCGCGCCCATCCATCTAGTGTCGGTCGAGTACGAGACCCCAGCCCGCACGTGCACCGCCGTGCTGACACCAGTCGCCACGCACGGAAGAGGATTGGCTGCTCGTCCAGCAACCCTCCCTAGGACTGATTCGTCTCAGGTGTTGTTGTCTTGCTCCTGGAATCCTCATTCGGCCTTCATGTTTCATCATCTTTTTGATTAGTGACCAGTTCTAGAATTTACTAGTCAGGTTGCGGTTGTACTAAGGGATTGCAGAACTAGGTTGTTATGCCATGTGAAAGTTTGTGTGATTGATGATCTGAACTAATGTTTGATATTTTATTTCTCAGTCATACAAACTAAACTAGGCCTTTCTTATTCTTGAACCTTTCATGAATAGAAGGACATTTCCTAACATAATTTTATTCTATCACTTTGTCATAACTAGGTACAATGGAAACTGATCGCAGTTGGATGTACAAGGGCCGTCGAAAGCGTGGCGAAGTTACTGCTGAGTGGATATCGAAGACTACAGAATTTCTTGACAAGGCATTCAGCAGGGAGACAGGACGTGCTGGTGTGTTGTGTCCTTGTAACTACTGCAACAACACACGTCCTCAAACAAGAGATATGATGATGAAACACCTTTGCAAATTTGGTTTCAGGGCAGCATATACTGTGTGGGTTTATCATGGTGAGACATATCCTGCACGTGAAAGCGATATATGCCAAAGCATTGAAGATGAAGATAGGGTGGCAGAGATTGATCGGATGGATGAGATGATAGATGATGTCCATGATGCTTATGTCTCAGTTGAGGAGGAAGATCCGGAGCCTACAGCGCAAGCTTTCTTTCAAATGCTGTCTGCAGCAACTCAACCTCTCCACGAACACACACAGGTATCACAACTTGATGCTATCACACGACTACTAGCTGTCAAGTCTCAGTATGCTATATCAATTGCTGGATTTGATGCACTTTTAAATGTGATATGTGCTCTCCTCCCACAAAGGCACAAACTACCAGCAAACTTGTATGAGGCAAAGAAAGTTCTTAGTGCATTGAACATGCCATATGAGAAGATAGATGCATGCCCTAAAAATTGCATGCTCTTTAGGAAAGAGAATGCGCAGAAGACGCACTGTGATAAGTGTGGAGAGAGTATGTATGTGGAGGTTGAAGACAGAAATGGTCACAAGAAACAATTAACTGTTGTCAGGAAGGTACTTCGTTATCTTCCATTCATCCCAAGAATTCAGCGGCTATACATGTCTGAATCGCAGGCCAAGCAAATGACATGGCACAAGAATGGTCATCGGTACCATCCTGACAAGATTGTACACCCAGTTGATGGTGAGGCCTGGAAGAAATTTGATAGAAACTTCACAGGCTTTTCAATGGAAGCCCGCAATGTTAGAATAGCAATAGCAACAGATGGGTTCTGTCCATTTGGTATGGGTTCTTCTTCGTACACTTGCTGGCCTATGTTTGTCATTCCTCTAAACCTTCCACCTGGTGTTTGCATGCGGCAGCACAACATGTTCCTTACCTTGATAATTCCTGGGCCAAATTATCCTGGCAAACACATTAGTGTATTCATGGTACCCTTAGTTGATGAACTTATACATGCTTGGCAGCAAGGTGTGTTGACATATGATCGTGCCACCAAGACGAATTTCAACATGCGAGTCTCCTTTCTTTATTCTATCCATGACCTTCCAGCATATGGTATATTTTCCGGTTGGTGTGTGCATGGAAAGATGCCATGCCCAACATGTATGGAGGCACTCCAAGGAAAAATGTTGAAGTTTGGTGGAAAGTACTCATTCTTTGATTGTCATCGCCAGTTCCTCCCAATTGATCATAGTTTTAGAAGTGATTCACATTCTTTTCTATCAAACACTACAGTTAGCAATGAACCACCTCTTCGTCTCTTAGGTCAAGAGATCCGTGCCCGGTTAGATAACCTTGTCCCTGCTGCTAATGGAGATAAGTTTGTAGGCTATGGCAAGGATCACCATTGGACACATATATCTAGTTTGTGGAGACTCCCGTACTTTCATAAACTAGTACTTCCTCATAACATCAATGTCATGCACAATGAGAAGAATGTTGCTGAGGCAATTTTCAATACTTGCTTTGACATTCCAGACCAAACGAAGGACAATATCAAGGCTCGCCTTGATCAAGCAGCACTTTGTAACAGACCTGAATTGAACCTCATCCAAAAACATGCATCTAGTCAGTGGGTAAAGCCAAGAGCTGACTTTTGCTTGAATAGAGCTCAGAAGAAGGAAGTATTAGAATGGTTTCAAACATTGAAATTCCTTGATGGCTATGGGTCGAACCTAAGGAGAGGAGTGAATTTGAAAACCATGCGGATCAATGGGTTAAAAAGCCATGATTACCACGTAATGATGGAACGTATCTTTCCAGTCAAGTTCCGTGGATACTTGCCAACTCATGTGTGGGAAGTGCTAGCAGAGGTGAGCTTCTTTTATCGCAAACTTTGCGCAAAACAGTTTGATCCTATAGAGATGGCAAACATGCAGTCTCAAGTAATTGTTTTGGTTTGCAAATTAGAAAAGATCTTTCCACCTGGATTTTTTAATCCAATGCAACACTTAATGATTCACTTACCATATGAAGCTAGCATGGGTGGACCTGTGCAATTTAGATGGAATTACCCCGTTGAAAGAGGCCAAAAGTATCTTAAGAGCAAGGTTAGAAACCGAGCACGTGTTGAAGCTTCCATAGCAGAGGCTTACATACTAGATGAAATCTCAAACTTCACATCCATATACTTTGCTGATCAAGTGCAGACAATTCACAATCCTGTTCCTCGATACAATGTTGCTACTCAGTCTACTGATTGTTCCCTAAGTCTATTCTCTATTAGGGGGGATTCTACTAGCCGTGGAGTCCCTCGACACCTAACTCGTGAAGAGTGGAATGCTGCCATATTGTATGTGCTTACAAACCTTACTGAAGTGGATGACTACATTGGGTATTAACTATGAAATTGATATGAGTTACTTCTAGTTCATAGCTGCATATAATTTTACTTTAAATCATTGTGTGCATTTTTATCTTGCAGGAAATTCATAGATGAGGAATGGACTAGATGAGGTGTCCCAACAAGGCAACAACAAGAGAATATCTTACGGAATGGTGATGGGAGAGATCGTCCTAATTTCGTATCTTGGTTCTATCAACAAGTAATTTCTTTAGCCCAGACTTTACTTATATTATACGCGTAGCAATGCATATCCTTTCAGATCAGATTAGGAAATCTAGCTAGCTTACTTCGATGTAATATCTTGCATGTGTATACATACTTTCCTAACTGTTGAACATTAAGTTCTTTCATGAATGTTCCTGCAACTAACCTAGGTAATCCCCATCAAACCAATAAAGTATTACTGCTAAAACTCTAAATTTGGTGACTTCTTATATCAATGCTATAAATTTGGTCCTACAATAGTAAAGCACATTTGGATTAGTGCAAGTTCCTAGTATGCATATGGCTTTTTCATAGTACAATCTGAGTTAATTTTTTTTCATGCATTATGAAAATAGTATTGAACATGTATGTACATGTCATTAATATGGAGACACTTCTCAATTGATCATCTGTTAGGTCGGAAATCTGGAAAGAATAAAATCCTTGCCAATTTCTAATAACAAAAAGAACCTAGCCAATTAATAACTTGATAACTTCAGTTTTGCAATTCAAGACCTCAATAATTAATAGTGCCTTCTTCCATTTTCTTTCTGTTTTCATTAGTTTGCAGTTTAACGCCTCTTAATTGCATTTGTGTCAATAACCTAATAATACTTATGTTTTTCTATAACATAACCTTCAATATTGCCATAATAGAACATTATGCCACAATTTATTGACACATTATTTCCTTTCATTTCACTGCTAGAGTATGTTAGACGAAACTATGAGTGATGATTTGAGGCAAGTAGCTAAAGGATGCCACACTCGAGTCTTGCTATATAATATGTATGATGTGAATGGGTATCGATTCCGAACACACAAATATGAACATGAGAGGCCAAATGCAACTACAATAAATAGTGGTTTGGTGACTATAGGACAGGGAGAAAATAGTGACACAACTGAGTATTATGGTTACATCAAAGAAATAGTAGAAATCAGCTTTGATGGCAGAAAACCTCTCACACTTGTGCTCTTCAATTGCCATTGGTTTGACCCAAGCAAAGTGAGGTATACACCAAGATATGGTCTGGTTGAGGTTGCTCATGCGTCAATCCTTCCAAAATTCGAACCATTTGTTTTGTCTCATCAAGCGACACAGGTGTATTACATGCCGTACCCATGTAAATCGTGCAAGACCTCACTAATTGGTGGGTTGTGTATAAGGTGCAGCCAATTGGTAGACTACAAGTACCCAATGATCAAGATTACAATTATGTTCCTAATAGCAATGTTGTCCACTATTTCCAAGAAGATGGTCTATCCGGCAGTTTTGTAATCGATCTTGGTCAAGAACTCAATAATGATCCTGAGCAAGTTGCCATTAGCAGGGATACTGAAGATATTTGCAATGACAAGGACTTGAAGCTTCTCAATGGATCATCTATTCAAGATGAAGATGATGATGACGAGGATGATGAATCTTATTGCACTTCCTCATCTGCTGAAGATGATGAGGTTCCCACTAGTAGGGATATCTTATTTGACGAGTATTTCTAAGGTACATTGTTCATTTTTTTGATGGAGACTATAATGCCAATTTTTTATATCCTGTGCCTCCCCAAATGAATATTTCCTTTGTCAACTATGCACAAGAATTAACCTTTCATAAACTGGTTGCGTGCTGTAATAATATTTGGCAGTCATCTTACTTTCGTAAAATTTCAGGCATACAATTGGATCATTGCAAAGGATTGCAGTTGATTGGTGCTGTCAATACACAAATTTGGAGTTGGTTACTCACTAGCCTCTAACATTTCTCTATTGCCTCCCTGGGAGAGGTTCTAAGAACTCAGACTCACCTTGTTACTATTGCATTATAGCCACTTCAGACAGCCATTTATATTGTGTTCTTGTATCATTGTATTAAAAAAATCATACTGGGATAATATACAGCTAATGTTCACCTGACATTTGTGTGGTTCCATATGTGATGCTTGTCTGTCATGTTTGGATGATATGTATATGCATACATGTTAGTTGCCTGCCTACTGTATCAGTGCAGTACAATCGTGAATGTGTGAAACCCTGTACAATGAGCTACATAATCTTACCGTGTATTCATCTCAAATGTCACCGTGTGCTAAATCTTACGGGAAGAATTTCAACCTTCCCGGGTCACTAAAAACTCTCGGTAAGGTGTTTCATGTTCCCGTGTTTTATGGATTTCTTCCCGTGAGTTCCAACCACCCCGTTTCACTCCGTTCCGTGCATGACATGCCGTTAACTGGAAAGTTACCGGCAGGGTGTTTTCACATGGTAAGCTTTCAGCACATCCTGAGTTCGCAAGCAGTTTCTCACGGGAAGAGTGACACGGTAAAGGTGAAAGGCTGCCGAGTACACCTTCCCGAGAGTTTGCTCACAGGAACGACGTTACCGTGAGTTTTAGCCCTGTTACCGAGTTGTTTAGGCACACGGTAGACTTCCATTCCCTGGTAGTGAGTATTTATTATACCAACTAGGAAGCTAGCTCGCGCGAATACGCAGGCATGTATTTTAGGGTTGTTTTTTTTACACACGTTTGATCATTCATCTTATTTAACATTTTTATATAAAACTGTGAAAATATAAGATATGTGCAAATTACCTTTAATGATAAACCTAGTCACAACAAAATAAATAATTATTATTACCTTTTTAATAGAACTAAATGGTCGAATGTTCGTAAAGAATTGAACAACGTCATCTATTAAGGATATTATAATTTCTTCAAAATTATTCTTTAGTGTCATTGCTTATTTTTAAATCTATTTGTTAGATATGCATGTTTATAGATCAATCCTCACTCTGTCCCAAAACATAGGTATCTTTGGATTTTGGGACGGTCTTTAGGATGCTACTTTGACAAATAATATGTATATTTATAAAAATAAATTATTATATATAAAAGAGTTACTTGTATTTAATATCAATTTTACGGGATTGATATTTTATTTATTTTCAGTATAAATAGTAAAAGTAAAATGTTTGACTTGGCAGTATTCTGAATATGCTTATATTTTAGGATGGAGTAAATGTATGGTACCGTAATCAACATGTTAATTGTTTGTAGCTTGCAATGGTAAAGAAATACATGTGCCATATATTTCTTACAATATAACTCTTATTTTTGGGCTTGATTAATAATAATAATAATAAATATTTTTTATATATTTAGTTGTTAGCTAGAAAATAGGAGATGAGATGGGAGGGGAGAGTTGGAGAGGGCGGGAGTATACATACGTGCGCTAATTAGGAGGAAGGGCAGTACGCTACTTTTTTTTTCTAAGAAACAGTTCGCTACATTTTTCCCCACTAAAACATAATAGATCTAATAACTAATTTAATTAGTGGGTCCATCTTTAAGTGCCACGTGGCATTTTAAGAACATTTATAGGAGTTCTATGTGGCGGCTTGAGAGCGTTTATAGGAAGTTTAATTTAATGGACTTTTAGTATATAATAGATGGAGTAGATAGATAGATAGATAGATAGATAGATAGAGTACTAGTTGGATGTACTTATATTATAAAGAGGGTCCCATGTCGACTAGAATGACGTGACCGTGGACGTCGTTGATTAGGCCAGTTGTATTATGACAATTGTAGATTATATTACAAATCTATATATGCTATATAGTTAGCACCAAAAGTTTAATATGTATTGGGCCACATCACTTACAAAATTAGAGTCATTGGATTATTTCATTCTTCATCACAATCATCCAATATATATTTAAATATTTACATTTATTCCTCGTTAGTTCCTAGATAACTTAATATTCATTAATCCACTTAGTATAGTTATTATTACTCAAAAGAAGGCATCCAAATGGTCATGCCATTTGTCATCTTATCGTTTGATGGTGTTTTTACGGTTCAGATCAACTAACAATCTATTTTATAATATATTGCATACATCACTATTGCACCACAACTTGTGGAGTTTCATCTAGTTTATATTAAATAACATATGCCATTGTTGCCGCTGCCTTGCGCCTCTCTCCCCCTATACTCATACTTGCTTCATGGTACCGCTACTATATAAATCTTAATCTTAATTGGTGATGGTTGGAAACCCCACAAAGTTGTCAGATTTCCCAACCAGCAACTATAAGGCCAAGGCGGCACTGATATAGAGGGGAAATAGGTGCTGGTTTAGAACTAACACCTTTAATTTGAGGTTCCACAAATAAAAAAAGCGGCTCGATGCACCGGCTCGAATCAAGCAGCTCCCCTTCACCCGATCAATCAAAGAACATCCAAGAACACTAAGAACACTAAGAATGGCCCGACATCGTGGAGGGCACCACTGCCGCAGCCATCGGGGGTCGGTAGCCTGCCACCGCACGCCGCCGCCGCTGCCTCCCTTCCTGTCGGATCTGGCGGAGGGGAGGTCGCCGCTGCCACGAAAGGCATGTTCTTGTTGTGCACCATCTCCCACAGGTCAGTGTCCATGTCGAAGGCGCAGGTGCCCTTGTCTTCTTGCTACTGCTGCGGCTGCACCGATGCCAACAAGAGGATGTAGGAGCTGACAAGGGCATACGGCGTGACGTGCACACTATTGGAGAAACCATCTTTGGTCGATCGACCCAAATCCACAATAGTCCCGGTTCCATTAAAAACTGAGACTAAAAACGATTTTTACTACCGATTTATAAGAGGAACAAGACTAGTTGATTTTTAGTCCCGGTTGTCCCGGTTGGTGTTACCAACCGGGACTAAAAATCATCTTTAGCCCCGGTTAGTAACACCAACCGGGACTAAAGGTCATCAGGACGGTTAGTCTCAGTTGATTCCATGTCAGGCCGTGTCAGGGCCCTAGGATCTTTAGTCCCGGTTAGTAACACCAACCGGGACTAAAAACCTAAATTTAGTCCTGGTTGATGTTACTAACCGGGAATAAAAATCAAAACTCACTATATAATCCATAGTACTTATCCTCTTTTCCTATCCACACAACAAACTCCTCCCTCTATCTCTTTTTTTCTCTCTAACTCCTTACCTCTTTCCTTCCTCTAAGCCTTCTCTTTCCTTTTTTTCCTTCACAGTGAAGAAGAAGCGGTGGAGCGGCACGAGGAGGAGGCCGGGCGGCGGCCGGCGCGGGGGGCCACGCGGCGGCGGGTGGTAGTGCGGAGGGCCGCGTGGCGGCGGCCGGCCGGCACGGAGGGGAGGAGGGGAGGCGGCAGTGGCCGGCTGACAATTTTTTTTTTAGATTTTGTGATTTATTGCATGATCCTGTGATGTATTTGATTTGCATGTGCTATGAATATGTGATGTATTTGTGATGAATTTTTTAGAAATTGTGATGTAATTTTTTTAAGAGTTTGTGATGTATTTGGAGATGGTCTATTTGAGGATTTGGAGATATTCTGTGATCTGTGATGATTTGGATTTGGGATTTCTTGAGTATGATTTGGAGATGGGGTGAAATCAATATTCAATGTTAAAAACAATGAAAAAGAGAAAAAAAGAAAAAAGATCTTTAGTCCCGGATGGTAACATCAACCGGGACAAAAGATGGCTCCATCTTTAATCCAGGTTGGTGTTATCAACAGGGACTAAAGATCGATCTTTAGTCCCGGATATTTGAACCGGGAGTAAAGATCGTTATCTTTAGTGATCTTTAGTCCCAGATTCGTAGTCCCGGTTGGAAAACCGGGTCTATAGGGGATTACCAACCGGGACTACAAAGCATTTCTCCACCAGTGGCACCTTCGGTGGGTCGAGGAACACCAGTGTGTTGAGGCAGCATAGGAAGACTGGCGGTGACGGTAGGCAGCACCACACGACGCAGAGGAGGTCGTCGAGGATGAAGAACCATGGCCAATCTAAGGATGCTTGGTGCCACCTCGCCACTTGCCGCCGCCCGCCGCAACTACTGCCTCCCCTCCCGCCGAACAGGGCCGGTCCTGGGTTTTTGGGCCCCAGGGCAAAAACTTATATGGAGGCCCCTATATATATATATATATACATAAACTAATATATATATTTATATAGTCATATAAACCCACAACATTTAATATTCGATGTGATAAAATTATCTATATATAACATTTTAAAACTTCAAAGAGAAATAAATAGCAGTAGCGAGCAGAGAAGGTGATCGACGGACGATCGACATGAGCGTGGCTACTGGCGAGCCATGATTTGCCGACTTGCTGTTTCCGTTTGCGAGAAGTCAAGAAGTCGCTGAGAGCGCAGGAGCAGTGAGCGACGTGACGTGATCGAGGCGGCATGACACGAGTGGCGTGATGTGATCGAGGCGAAGCGAAGGGATGTAGTCAGATGAAGATCGCTTCGGCTTCGTTGAAACAGGCCTGACGATGGACTAAAAATTCATTTTCTATATTGGACTATTTAGCTGTCTAACTTAATATAGACCCATGGCACATGAACTAAAATTATACAATACGTAGTATATATACTATATGTGTATATAGGGGGCCCCTAGATTTTGGGGGCCTCGGGTAGCCGCACGGCCTGACCCCCCCTAGGGCTGGCCCTGCCGCCGGATCTAGTG